GGGGGTGCCAGAGCTCTCCGGGGCAGCCCGCGGGTGCCTCTGGCTCCTGGGTCCCGGAAGAGGGTGGGCGGCTTGCCCCTGCTAGCTGCTGGAACAGGTATCTAGGTTAGGGTTGTCTCAGTGGCAGAGCATCTGCCTGGCGTGCAAAAGGCCCCAGGTTCAATCCCCGGCAGCCTCTCCAGCTAAACAGGACCAGGCAGGAGGTGATGGGAAAGACCTCGGCCTGAGACCCGGGTCGTGGCTCAGTGGAAGAGCCTCTGCCTGGCGTGCAGAAGGTCCCAGGTTCAATCCCCGGCAGCATCTCCAGCTAAAAAGGACCAGGCAGGAGGTGATGGGAAAGACCTCTTTGCCTGAGACCCTAACCGGAGACCAACCTGCCATAGCTTAAACGTTCTGCTGGGGTTGGGCTATGAGGCTGGTACAGTAGGTATAACAGCGAGATTCGAGTCCAGTGATCACCTTATGGACCAGCAAGATTTTTTTTGAGTATCAGCTTTCGAAAGTCGAGACCCAGTTTGGTGTAGTGGTTAGGAGCGTGGACTCTAATCTGGGAGAACCGGGTTTGATTCCCCACTCCTCCACATGCAGCTGCTGGTGTGACCTTTGGTCAGTTACAAGTTTTTTCAAAGCTGTCCTCTCAGGAGCAGTTGTCTCAGAGTTCTCTCAGCCCCACCAGCCTCACAGGATGTCTGTTGCTGGGAGGGGAAGGGAAGGGGAAGGAGATTGCAAGCCACTCTGAGACTCTTTTGGGTAGTGAAGGGCAGGGTATAAACACAATCTCTTTTTCTTCATATCTGATGGAGGGAGCCTTGACGGCTGGAAAACGTATGCTCCCAAAGTCCGGTCGGTGTCTGAGGAGCTCCTGGACTGGAATCCCGCTGTTGTGCAGAACAGCCAGGGCCACCCTCTGAGAGTCAGGGAAACAAAATAGCTTCAGAAGTTCGGGAATGAGGATCCAAGTGGGCGCTTTGTGGCGCGACCCCCCTCGGCGAGCCCCGAGTATTGAGACTTCTTCTTGTCTGCTTGCCTTTCAGATTCAACTTTCCCGTATCAAACCCCCCTGGGTGGTTAAAGGTCAGCCAGCCTACCAGATATGTCCTCGGATTATCCCCAATCCAGAGCCCTCCGGCCCGGACCGAAACGGGGCCGCGGCCTCTGCTGACTTTAAGGCCTGTGCTGTGCCAGGCGGGGCCCAGCGAGAGACTGCTGCTCCTGCCTCCGCCATTGGAGGTGGGGGTGGGCCGGGGGGAGGGGGAGGCGGCAGCCCGGATGAAGGCGGCGGCCGTGGTGGTGGTGGCAGCGGCGGCAGCGGCACCCGCAGCAGAGGCAGGCAATCCCGTGGCCGCCCAAAGCGCTGGAGGTCCAAGAGAGCTCACCGGAAGTGTCTGTCAAATTTACAGCGAACACAGCTATTGCCGCTTCCCCACCTAGAACAGCCCGGCCCTGAGTCGGCCAGAAGAAACTCCCCCATGAATGAGAAATCAGCTTCACCTCCTAGAGCCGAGGGAGCCGTGGCGGTAGGGCAGACCGCCGGCACGGCCTCGCTTGCCCTCGAAGGCGTCGCTTGCATCGCAGAGGCTTCTGGAAGCGGCCACTCGGACAGCAGCCTGGCCAAACTGCCCCCGGATTGCCTAGCCGTGGCAGCGCTGGGTGGAACCTCCGGACACCTCCCGAGTGACGTGAGCGGTGGGCGGCCTCAGGGGGCTCACAATCAACAGGAGGGCACGAAGCTTCCTTTGGGGAGCTGTAACATCCACTCTCGGCTAGAGGACTCTCCGGTTAGTCTCCTTGGGGATACCCATAGAGCAGACAGGCACGGAAGTGGCCATCCCGTCCTTCTGACCCACAAAGAAACCAGCTCTTCTGGGAGTTCTGGCCCGGTGGCAGATTTAGCATGTGAGAGCACAGAGCCCGGCGGGACAGAGGTGGAGGAAAGACCCGCAACCGGGCTTCGAGCAGGGGAGGGTCTCCCGGATCCCCGGCGTTCCGATGCCGTTGGGGTGGAGGATGCGGCTCCGCAGTTCCACCTGTCCTCTCCTCCGACGACACCACAGCGGCATGGGGAAGAGAGACCGAGCGGGAGCGACAAGGACGGCGCCTGTCAGACGAAGCCCGTCCCCCTGTTGGATGGCTTCAGCACTCCCCCTGGCGCGGAGACACCCCAGAGCAGCCTTCCTGCATGGGAGGCAGGAACGGGGGTGGGCGGGGAAGAGCCAGAAGCGATGCTAAGCACCGACCCTGTCAACGACGAGGAAACGAGAAGCGTGCTCAGCGAGACGACGGAGACGGCGTCCGATTTGGAAGCGGAGCTGACGGATGAGAGCGCAGAACTGAACCTGGCTAAAGCGGAGGGAGGGCCCGCTCCCAGCAGGAGTGGCCCGGAGGGACATGACGGGACCCGGTCCGAATCGTCCGCGAGAACTGACTTCCCTAGGCACAGGGGAGACTTGTCCTCCGCAGTTCAGCCTGTTGGCCTCTGTTGGCCGGAAGAGCCAATGCCACGGTCCTCTCCTGCCCCGGAAGCTGCTGCGCCCTCTGTCCGCGTTGATTTAGAACGCCCCGGACCGCCACTGCCCCCGAGGACTTGCAAGCTGCTGTCCGTAGAAGCGAGCAACCCCCTCATGGTGAAGTTGCTCAAAGCCCGGCTGCCCCTGAGCACGGTTCTCCCAGGGGCTCCCAGCAGCACTTCAGTGGGCATCGCAGATCAGCCTCCTGCAAGGCAGTGCAGCGCCCTGCTTGGGAGCCAGAGTGCCGGCGGCCATGTCCAGGGACCCCGTCAGGCCGAGGGGCTGGACATGAATGGTGCAGCACCAAACGGACACCCTGCTCCCAGGTGTCTGAGGGACTCTCCGCAAAGGCACTACATTCCTGGCCCCCCAGCCTCGCCTAGAGAGGGCCAGGAAAAGCCCGCGGACCCAGGGACCTGCCCCGACTTCAGTCCCAGCTCGGGCTCCGCAGGCCGAGCAGTGCGGGCTACCCAGCAGCCTGCAAAGTTGAGCCCAGCGGGAGGGCTGTTCTCTCCGCATGCTTGCAAAGGTCCAAAGGATTCTGCCACGTCTGCTAAGCCTGTCCCCGGCGGGAGCCTGCAGGAGACTCTAAAGCCAACTCAGTTTTCGCCTCCCGGCGGGACCCCTCTGGATCGGTCCGGGGGCGCGTCCGTTCCTCAGAACCAGGGGGTTCAAGGGAAGAAGGTCTTTGGTTCCGGCTTCCCCTGCAGCACCGCTCCTCAAGCACAGCGGCTTTCCAGAGTGCCGGTGCCCTGTCCCATCAAGCGTGGGCCGGCGCCGCCCCCCAAGAGCCCCGTGCCCAGGACAGGGGCACCAGCCGTAAGGGAGGACTGGCCTCCCAAGCCGCGCGTCCACATTGGCGGCGGAGGGGGGGTGGAGAACAAGCGTGTCCCGGCCTGCCCCGGCCCGGCCAAGAGGAACGTGGAGAAGCGGAAGGAGGCGCCGCCCAGCCCCCTGGAGCTGATGGAGCAGCTGCAGGGCATCCCCTTGGTACGGGACCTTCCTTTCTTCAAGCTGCCGAGGGAGCCTGGGGGGAAGGGGCTGGCCCAGCCCCTGGAGCCCTCCTCCATCCCCTCGCAGCTGAACATCAAGCAGGCCTTCTACGGGAAGCTCTCGAAGCTGCAGCTGAGTCCGGCCGCGTTCCGCTGCGCCTCCAGCGTGCCGGTTTCCCCCAGGAGCCTGGCGGAGAGCGTGATGCAGCTGAGCCACAAGGCGAACTTTGCCGCCTCCCGCGGCGTCTCCCTCTCGGCCCAGATGTTCGCCGGCGTGGGCGTGGAGGAGGTCTCGCTCAAGTGCTCGTGCCGCCTGAAAGCCATGATCCTGTGCAAGGGCTGCGGGGCGTTCTGCCACGACGACTGCATCGGGCCCTCCAAGCTGTGCGTCTTGTGCCTTGTGGTGAGATGATGAGCAAAGGCCCCGGGAGGGGGGGGGAGGGAGGTGTATATTTCCGCGTGTTTTTGCGAGCAAGGGGTCCCAGAAGACCAGTGCGCACGCCGTATCATCCGGGTCATATTACAAGGCAGCGTTCAGGATGCCGCACGTTTTGGTTCACCTGTTAGGACTGGCGGGAGGGGGGGGGCGGCCCACCGGGATCATCCAGTGTCTTGAGGATTTTCTAGCCATGTCTGTGCCCCTGTGTCCCATGAGCCCCTTTGAGGAGAGAGAGAGAGAGAGAGAGAGAGAGAGAGAGGATCGTCTTCTTAGGAAAGTGGAGCCAGCATAATATGGGAGGGGGGGGGTTGTTTGTTTTCCCCCAGAAGGGACTTGGAGCAGGTCCCCCTTTGCTCAAGCTGAGCAACATGGCGTCGTCTTCCGTTCTCCGCTTCCGCCATCTTTTCCTTCCTGCTTCGGGGGCGAAGCGCCCCCCTTTTTGAGAGCCCCTTACAAACGAGGAGCAGGAAGCGGTCATTGCCGTCGTGGTAGCCACGTGGCAGGAGGAGCCGTTAGTCTCTGGGTTGTTGGGCTGTGGCGGGGGGGGTGTTGCAGTTTTTTTTTTGGGGGGGGGCTCTCGGCTCTAGCAGGCAGCCTCCCTGCAAGGAGAATATACATAAATATATATATAATTTTAAAAATTTTCGTTCTTGGGTGTAAAAAGTGAACCGTTTGGCTCCTATGTACCCTCTATGCATCTGTTGGATCATGTATTTATAACGTTGTACACAGTACCGGCCGATTTCTGTAAATGGATGTTCTTGTACATAAAGCGTTTTTAAAGATTCCTTTATTTTCTCCTTCCCCTGCTGCGGCAGCCTTACCTCCAGGTGTGCCGCCGGTCCCTCCTCGCCCTTGGTCCCGAGTCCGAGCGACTGCGCTGTGCTCTCTCTGCCTCGCCTGGCCAGAGGCCAGCCCCATCTCACACCCCTGGCTCGCCCAGGCAGGATAGAGGGGTCACCTGCCCCCGGGTCTAAAGAAGAGCTCCCCAGCGCCTCGGGCTCGGTAGTGCCAGGCCGGATCCCTTTTGCTAGCGGCAGGGCTCCCTGCACGGCTCCCGGAGGCGAGAGGAAAGCTTTGTGTGCTGCCACCAGCAGACCATGGCCGCAGGATCCCCGGCCCCTTTGCTTCTTGCTTCCATCGGGAGTCAGGAGGAGGAGGACGACGTGTGTGACAAAGGCGAGCGCTCCTGGGGTGTGTGTTTCTGGCTGGCAACTCCGCTCACCCTGGGGTGGGGAGCGCCTCGAAGCGGCTGGGTTTTCCCCAGGGGTGGGGCTCGAGGGAGGAAGCCGATGTCCTCTTCTCCTCTAAAGCAAACGGATAGCAAGGGGTTTGTCCTCTCCTCCCGTCTCCAGCTCCTCACCTACCTCTGTCCCTGACCAGCCTCCTCTTTTTCTTTAACCGTAGACCTCCCTGCTTCAGAGCTGTATAGAAGTGTTAAAAATTGGGGCTTCGTCATCTCCACAACGTTTACTCTGAACCAACATGGCAGCTTTTTTTAGTCGGAGATGCGGGGTGGGGGAGGGGGGGCGTGAGAGGTCAAAAGCTAAGCGAATTGTGGTATTAAAGGCAACGAAGCCGCTGGTCTCTGAAACCTGCTTACCAAAGACGGGGGCCAAACCAGGGGGGGGGTCTCCTCGCTCTTCGTCCTCCAGAGCTGCTGTTGTATACGGTCTCATGCTGGTCCGGCGGGGAGGGGAGGGCGTTTCCTCTGCTGACCCCTGGTGTTGTATGTCCCTTGTGGTATTGGAAGAAATAAACATTTTGAAAATTGCAGCTCGTGGTTTGAATCTTCCTTCTGAACTTGGTCTTTGATTCTCCAGTGGGTGGGGAACTCGGAAGGCTGTGTTGGAAAGTGCGCGGACTAACCTGGGAGAACCGGGTTTGATCGCCCACTCCTCCACATGCAGCTGCTGGATGACCTTGGGCAAGCCATAGTTCTGTCAGAGCTGTTCTTGAAAAAGTGCCGTTTCTGTCAGAGCTCTTTCAGCCCCATGGACCTCACAAGGGTGTCTGTTGTGGGGAGGGGGACCTACACCAAACTGGCCGTCAACCTCTGAATCCTGGTGCTAGGAGGCAACATCAGGGGGAAGGCCTTGGCCTCTGTGCCCTGTTGTTGGAATCATAGAGTTGGAAGGGACCTCCAGGGTCATCTAGTCCAGCCCCTTGCACAGTGTAGGAAATTCACAAATACCTCCCCCTCCAAACCCCAAGTGACCGCTATTCCACACCCAGAAGATGACCAAAAAACCCCTCCAGGATCTCCAGCCAAACTGGCCTGGAGAAAAACTGCTTCCTGACCCCAAAGTGGTGATCAGCATTTCCCTGGGCGTGTAAGAAAAGGCCACGAGAACTAAGCACTGAGGTGACCCTTCCTGCCCTCCCTCTCACGATCTGCCCAAGTTCTCAGGATCAGCATTGCTGTCAGGTGGCCATCGAGCCTCTGAGTGAAAACCTCCAGAGGAGGAGAGCCCACCACCTCCCGAGGATGCCTGTTCCACTGAGGAACCGCTCTGCCAGGAAGTCCTTCCTAATGTTTAGCTGAAAACTCTTTTGATTTAATTTCAATCTGACCTTTACAAACCAATAGTTTGAGTCAGTGTAAGGAAGCTTCATGTGACATCCAAGAAAGCTTAAGAACACAAATTATTAACAGTGTTCAACAGCAAACAATGAATGCAATGGATCAACAGCATGGATAGAATTCCCCCTACCCCTCCTTATTCTATATGTTCTTTTCCTGGTCCCTCTGAATAACAGAGAAGCGAGAAGACCCAGGAGAAGGAAGAGTTCCTGCCACTTCTCTCTCCCCTCTCTTATTTGGTGTTGATTAGGGCTCCCAGGAATGGTCAGAAATTGGTGGGAATGAATTGGTGGGTCAGCTAATGGATGGAGAGCCATGGAGTGCATCATTCCTAAGATGTCCTCTAATGTTCAGTGTATGGTCTACTAAGACCCCTGGATCCTTTTCACACATACTACTGCCCAGACAAGTCTCACCCAACCTATAATTTATACATTTGATTATTCCTATCTAAATGCAGAACTTTACATTTATCCCCATCGAAATTCATTTTATTTGTTTTAGCCCAATTTCCAGTCTGTCAAGATCATGCTGTATCCTGACTCTGTCTTCTACCACATTTTCTACCCCTCCCAATTTAGTATAGCCTGCAAATTTAATAAGCATTCCCTCTATCCCTTCATCCAAATCGTTGATAGAGATGTTGAACAAAACAGGTCCCAGGACAGATCCACTTGTCACTCCTCTCCAAGAGGATGAGGAACCATCCACAAGCACTCTTTGGGTACGATCTGTCAACCAGTTACAGATCCACCTAACAGTCACAGGATCCAAACCACATTTTGCCAACTTGTCAACAAGAATATTATGTGGAACCTTATCAAAAGTGTACTGAAATCAAGATAAACTGATCCAGCAAGGTAGTAACTTTCTCAAAAAAAGAGATAAGGTTAGTCTGAGATTACTTGTTCTTGAGAAACCCATGTTGGCTCTTAGTAATCACAGCCGTCCTCTCTAAGTGCTCAAGAACTGTCTGATGATTTGTTCTAAAACTTTCCCAACTATAGATGCCAAGCTGATGGGTCAGTAGTTACCTGGATCCTCCTTTTCCCCCCTTGAAGATGGGGACAGCATTTGCTCGCCTCCAATCTTCTGGCACCTCACCTGTTCTCTAAGAAATTCTCAAAAATAATGGACAGAGGCTCAGAAATTACATCTGCAAATTCTTTTAGTACCATTGGATGCAGTTCAACTGGCCCTGAGGACTTAGCTTCATTTAAAGACACTAGGTGTTTATGTACTAGCCCCATACCGATCCTAGGCCGCAATGCCCTTCCCTTCACCACGTGTTCTCTTTATGCCATGTTGAGCACTGTTTCCCTCCCTCACAAGAAATACTGAAGAAAAGTAGGAATTGAGCAGTTCTGCCCTCTCTTCATCACCTGTTACTATTTCACTTTCCTGTCCCCGCAATGGGCCAACCATGTCCTTGCTCTTTTTCTTACTTTGAACATAAGAAAAGAACCTTTTTTTGTTGTTTTTAGCATGTCTCACTAGCCTAAGCGCCAAAGTGATTGGCTGGCCACTGTGGGACAGGATGCTGGACTTTTTTTTTTAAATGTTATTATTCAAACCTCGCACGTTCCAGGACATTATTTTCAACGATTGTGCCATTGTATCAGTATAAATGGTGGGATAACAATATTTTTCAATATAATATCAAACACAAGTAAAAGGCTGCACAATTTAGGAGCGTACCTACTTTATATTATCTCCTGTAATACAAGATTAGCTAGTACCCTGTTTTCCTTTCTCTTACCTAACTAAACTTTTAAATAAACTTTACTCCCTTCACCGCACTCTTTGTCTCAGAGAGCCCTGCTTAACCCTGTTTCTTTTCTGTTATTAGAGGCTTCAACCCTTAATAACCCTCCTTTCATCCCCCCACCCGCCCTCCCTAGCTTCAGAAGGATCTATCTTATTTATAAAACATTTGAAATACGCTTCTAAATAAATGCTTAATATATTAGTAACAAAGAACATGAACAAGTTATAGGGATCTCAATAGGTAAAGTCCACGGTCTTTGTCTGAAGCAAAGTACTGTTTCCCTTTGTGTATAACTCTGATTTGGCCTGGAGATGACCATCGGTATTGGATCTTATGTTCTCTGAGTTTCAAGGTGGTTTCTCTTAGTTGTTGTCGTATTTTCAAGGCTTCCGCTGGTAAGTCAGAAAAGACGCTGATTTTGGCATCATGAAATGTTAGACATCCTAGTTCATGAGCCAGCTTCATGATAGCATTTTTTTCTCTTAGGTCTGCCAGTTCAATCAAGATGTCTCTTGGGTATTTTCTGTTGGGCTTGTTTGGGTTTCCAAGCCTATATATTTTTATTACTGAGAGTTGTATATTGTCCTCTTTGTGAATCAGTGAAGCTAGCCAAGATGGGATAGCGATTAGGAGGTTTGATTCTTCTGGGTTTTCCTTGAACCCTCTTAGTTTCAGGTGGTATTTCCGTGCCTCAGTTTCCAGGACCAACAATCGTTCTTTCATATAAGTTTGTTCTTTTTGTAATTCTTGATTTTCAGCTTGTATAGTAGAACCCAAGGAACAGGCTGTTTCAGCAATTGCTTTTGTTGTTTCTAAAGCCATTGCTAATTGATTCATCTGCTCCGTTAATGGTTGTAAGGCTGTATCAATTTTTGAGGTGAATTTGTCCAAAACCGAGTTTTCAAAGAATTGGAAAGAGTTTTTTAAAGTTGTTTGAAGCATTTTTAACGTTACAGGATCTTCCTGTGCGTCTTTCTTTTTATTTTTATTGTCGGCGGCCATTTTGAAATTCGTTCGGTTGCACAACGGGGCTTGGATTATTGGCTTTTCCACTCACCCTTTGAAGCTCAACTGGTTCCAGTATGATTCTTTGTCTCAATTGTTTGTTGCGGGGGTT